GCATCCTCTTGATGCCAGGGCCACATTTCGGGCACTTTTTGTATCCCCAGCTCTTCAACAACGCCCATGTCTTCGCATCGACTCCAAACTCCTCAACCGAACAACTGCTGCCAGCATGTGCAATCTGCCGTCATTCAACGCAGATACTCGTTGCACAGCTTCGACAGCTAAAGCTCTGCGCCGTTGGCATTCCCACTCCCGAATCCGTCCTTTTGCCCTCTGCATTCACGCGTAGGGGCAGTAATCGCTCGGGGATAAAAGTCGAACAAGTGGGCACCGGACAATAGAACGGACGAGGCGTAGACCACTCTTCATACTTGAGCTTGAACAACGCTACTTCCTCTGCGCTCAGGCACTGCCGCGCCTTGTGGATGGGGATTAGGGTGCAGCGTCTCGGAGGCATACGCGAACTGTCCTTGCACGCCTTCAAAAAGATGTCTCGAACACAGGCAATGCAGAAGGGGCTCACGCAGCTATCGCAGGGCCTGGTGACTTCTTTGGAATAGTTGGGATCCTTCTTTGCGGGCAGTGACTTGCAACACCCAACACATTGAATCCTTGATTTTGTAGAGGACTCGGTAGTGGATGCGTGTAGAAGAGATGAGGGTTCTGAAGGTGGATGGTCAGTCTGAAGGCCCCCACTGCACAATTCTTCTGGATATGGGTTTGTAGGCTCCATTGCATGTGGAATTGTAACTATAGTTGGAGAGTTGTCAAAGTCGCCATGGAAGTCATGATCCCGCAAGCTGGACTATGAAGAAGCTGGCGTATTTGAGGGTGATTATCGTGATTATCGTAGCTGTCAATCTCGGCTTCACATTTATTTTGCTCTTCGTCGTGAGCGCAGGTATTTGCGAGGGGTGGAGCTGGAGCCTTGCGGTGTAACCGCAAAGCCGTCGAAAGACCAACACCCATGAATAAAATGACGAGTTGTGTAGTACATGGAGGGCACGGATTAAAAATGTTAAATAAGAGTCAGAGATGCAAAGAATAACGGCGGGGTTTGACTCACTCGATGCTCTTGAGTCAAAGAGAGACGGGGCTGCCTGCAGGCGGCCAAACGGTACGCTGGTAGGTAAGCGATCATGGGCTCATGCTGTTCACATGTATCACAAATCCGAAGTTGGAGTTTGGAAAGCAATAATATCATGTATACGGAGCGTGGACGAACATAGAGACCGGAGAAGGTAGTATCAGGCATATCATTGTTCTGATATATAGTAATGGGGCTAGCACTAGGTAAACCCAGCATTCGTACCTAGCCACGTCAGATGCCAGGTAATAATTGTTCAAAATACCGTACAAGGCTGAAACGTTTTCCATACATCTCACGCACCTTTATCAGATTTATTCAACGGTACCCAGACTTGAGTGTCTCATGGCCGGTACGGTAAGTACTAGTTTCGCGATGTACCTTACCAGGTACTTGGACTTGAACGCAGGCCCGTTAAAACTCATGTGCAGCTATGATTACGAAGCCATCATGCTTGTTCTGGTTGACCCAGAGAAGAAGAGAACAAAAATTGCGACCCAGTGGGATCTGAGACTGTGTCTTCTCACCCACCGATTGATTTTTTTTCCTAAATGGTGCGTAGAGAAACCGGTAGAATCACTGATGTGGTGGGAGTTGCCTCGGCCCTCGACTGGCCTGGAACGGTAAGTTGGCTTAGCCGAGCTTGTCTTAGCGTACTTGAGTATCGATGCGCCCGCGTTATCAATATCCCGAGTCGCCCTTGAAAGGGCGATGGCTGATGAGCAAAAGCCAGGAAAGATCTGCTTCGGCAACAGGACTCTATGACCTTTACACAGCAAATTCCATTCCCTATCGGTAAAACGGATCCAGCCAGCTCGGACGAAATCATGTTGGTCCGAGGGTAGACTGATCTCCATTAGATCTGCTGACTGCACGTGCGATTCCTCTACACGTTAAGGTTTGATGTGCAATTTGTAAAGCTTCAACGGCGTGAACTCTGAGAAGATCACTGTGTGCTAGTTCCATGGTGTGGTTTCTTTTAGCGGTTGATGAGATGAGAGGCATGTTGATAATATGCCAGCATACATTCAAATCATCAACAATGAAACGCCAAGGAGATTGTTGGATACCTGACTACCACACTGCGTCGTGTATAGAGCTGCGGTACAGTGCTTTACGAAATCGTGTGGGTACGGTAGATCCGATCGCTAGAATCTTGGCACTACATTGGCGAGGATTTACAGTGGGACAACGAGCTCCGTTTTCCTCTGCAGAAAGAGTGTCGTGATCGATCATGACGAGTTTTCCAAATGCATGTGAGGCGTAGTCTACGCTGCATAGGGACTGCTCCCGAGGTCACAACAAACAAGGAGCAACCCTACGGTCTACCTGTACGGTGACGATCTCAACCGTCAACCCAGGTGATTGGAAACTCTGCATTGATTGACGGCAAATGGAGTGATGGTAGTGCCTGGGTAGACTCTGGTAGGTAGGAGTAGGTACCTGACATTGTATGTACGGGAGATGTGATGCTTGAACGAAACCTAGGGAGGTACTTACTTAGTCCAAGTCGACTCAGTGCCGACAAAGGGCCGCCGTGGAATGCTTGGCTTGGGTCCAAGACTATCTCCAGCCCGGTGCGGACGGATGGTAGTGCCGATAGGAATGGGGGCAGCCCTTTGCTCCAACATAGGTTTAGCAGGCTTGTGACCAGGTCGAATAGCATTTGCCTGAGAGGACCAAGAAGTTTGGTCACAAATAGTGACGTGCGTAAAATGTCAACAGTAGGCTACCACCTGCCCTGTCAAGCCAGCCACCAACCACCACGAAAGACCCGGGAGCTTGAGTATAGATACCATGACAAGATCTCTCGGTGCTCACTGGTAGTAAGGTAGTAGTCAGCCTACCTCGAGATGATCTAGTCTGGACGCTGACCTACTAAGCCCGCTGACCAAAAGCTACACAGCAGAAGGACGGTGACGACACCGCGCAGCCCATGGCCAGCGGCAATGTTTCCACATGAGATTTGGAGGCATGTATCCAGCAGCTCTTGAGTGTTTTGCCGAAGATTCGCCAATGCCGGCATGTCTAGCAAAAGACGGATGTGATGTACATTATTGAAAGCGTGAAAGGGAGGGGCGGGGCAAGCGGGGAGAGCGATGCGGGATGGGGGGAAGCATCGATGGCATCGGTGGTCCATGCATGCATCCATAGGTCTTCCATCAAGTCGGCAGGCAACGGACAAGCGGCCCAAAGAAGGCGCTAAACATGCAATACAGCCGCGCTCTCCTCTCCAGCTCTTTTGCTCCAGCTAAGCATGTACCACCGCATCTCTCTTGTGCTTTTATCTGCGTGTGTAAACGGAACGCTGGCGTGCGACCCAACCCTGCAGCATCGTGCTTTTGCAGGTTGCATCGTCAGCAACGCACGGCAGTGCGCCACATTTCCCTCTTTACCCTCTTCAGACTACGGGCCTTGGTGGCGTCGGCATGCAGCTTTTGGCGGAGGGCGCGAAGGGGGGAGCTAAGCTTATGTGCACGTCAGGTTAGGTAGGGTTAAGGTGATGAGGATGCACAGAGGCTTTTTGTCAAAACGGCCCGGGGGTTGCCTGCCCCCCTTGCCCATAAGACTGGGTAGGTGGTAGAGAACTACATCATGTACTCATCAAAGAACGGTGTGAAGGATGGATTGCCATGTCCATACCAGAGTAGTAGCCATGTTTTACCTAAACCCTCCCCTTTACCCCCCCCTGACTTTAAACTTCTTCCCCAATCTGCAAGGAGGCTTCTTGGCTTGGGATCTGATGTGCTGTGCTGTGCTGTGCTGTGTTGTGATTCTGTGTGGATCTCCTACCATGATGCTTCCCGTAGATGGACGAGATGCTGCCGTGCGAACGAAAGATGCTGCAGGCTGACCCGTTGCGCAGCAAACCACCAACGGCGAACGGGACGACGATGCATGCGACATGTGATGATGAAAAAAAGCCCACGAGGCCAACTCATCGGTCGACCAAGCCGTAATGCCCGGCCATTGCGGGTTGCTGGCCCTGCTTTCCATTCAGTTTTTTTCTTCGCTCTCGAGCGTCCATTACACCTGGGCATCGCAGCGGGTCGAGGAGATCAGCAGGCTGGCCGCAGACAAGACCACAACGCCCCCGCAAACTTGGCTTCCTGGGGGATATTCCGCCGGCCGCATGGTGCTAGTAAGAAAGTGTCAGTGCACACGGTGGTGGTGGTTAGTATGGATGTTGGTAGCTGCGTCCCTTGTACATACATGGCCCCTCGGCGATAAATAAAAGCTCCCACGGTTGCCCCATTTTATTCAAAGAAAGACGGTCCGCCCATATCCTTAAGTAGAAGTGTCTGTCCGCCGTCGAGAATCGGTCTGCTTCCTGTTCTCACTTGAATGTGGCACCAAGTCTGAAGTTGGCCATTCCTTGTGTTGCAACATCTGTACCCGCCCGTCTATTCTTCAGCCCTGCAGACGTCATGCTGTGGCTTGCACAAGCATTTTTGGCGATTGGCCTAACAGAGGCCCAAACCGCTCAGGTATGTGGTTCACTTTG